GCTCATGGTAATCTTTTATAGAAGTTTAACTTATTGGGGGGAGGGAGGGTAAGGGCCTTTCAGCTTTTTGTGAGGAAAATGTGGGGATATCCCAGAAAACCATTTGTAGCCAGATTTGAGCAAATCACAAATCCTCATAGAGAAATGGTTTAAAAATTACTCTTGTCTGAAGCAGAAGCACAAGTGCCTTCAAGGGGCAGTATAATATTGGAGTTTCTTCAGGAGACACATGCTCTAGCCCTTCCTGTATCTTGTGATCAAGATTTAGGTTGAGGCCTAAGGAAAGCTCCAATAAATTCTATTACTGGGATTGTATTGGTCAGACAAAAAGTGAAGTATTTTTCATCAGGTTTTATTTGAAAGAATAGTCAAAATAGAGTCAAAATAGTCATTCCCTTCTGCACTTTAAACCCAGCAAAACAAATTCATTGCTTAGACAAAACCATGGTTCAGAATCAAGCTAGCATGTCTTTTCCCATCTTTTGAGAATCAGGTTCAGTCTGCTATCCCCATTTCTGTGTATGCTTAGTTTGACACAATTGTGCTTTAACTGCACATTTTTAGTGCTGTTTGTGAATTAAATGGTTAAACAGAACTGTAACTTTTATTGGTAATCTGTCCTGACTTGTATTTATTACTAGCAAGGGTCTTTGTCTGTTCCAATAGGCACTGTTTGAGTTATGTTTTGTTTCCTGGTTGTCTTCCTGTCCTATTGTATACGTTGGAGTTGCTCACAGTAATTTTTGTTTGAAATCAGCCCAAGGTTGTAACTTTCCTTCTGTTTTTTTCTTTCTAACCATCCCAAAACACAGTAACAGGAAAGATTAATGGAAGAGTCTGCAATGCCAGAAGGGTAAATGATGTTTCACAGTTGTATAGAATAAAAGGCTTTAGTTAAAATATTTTCAAGTTGTTTTGTGTACTAGATAAATTGTGTGATTTTGGAGCTTGAATTTAACAAAGGGCTTCAGAGTGCTTTGAAGCCTCAAGTAATGCAATGGCTGAAGAAATGGCAATGCCTTAGCAGAATTAGCAGAATTCTGTGAAGATAACCTTGTAATGTGGTTGGATGTAAGAATTTCTGAGGTGAGCAGACCTTCAGATGTGAGCACTGAGTCCTGTTGAGGGGACAATGTCACATGGGCTGTGCTGCTTTTGTACCATGGAAGTATTTTGTGCTAACAGGTGACCTGTGCCAGTTGCTGCTGAGCTGTCTGGGTGTGGAAAGGTTGTAAGAGGCACATGGGAAATCAAACTGGGTTTCCTGATGTTGAAAATGCCAGGACAGAATGCTCAGAGCTTTTGCTGTGGGAATTGTCAGCTGAGCTGCTCTCTCAGAGCTCACATTAATTCAGAGCCCAAATGTGCTCCCAGATTCCCAGCTCTGACTTACTTGGTGTATAAAGTGAGAGAAGGGGTTTTTTTTGCTATTACCTTTAAAATTCTGTCACCTTTTCTGGAGTTGTGCTGTCTGTAAAAGTCCTGAAGGCAGAAGGAGGAGAGCATTGAGTTAATATGAGTCACAGCCCCTGGGAACATTGTGAGCAGAGAGTTTGATTGCCAGAATCGTAGAGAAGGCTGCAGGTTTGCAAAAATTAATTAATTTCCATGTTCTTAATGGGAAGGAGTTGTAAATCTGGTGTTTAGTAGTGCAGCCTGTCTCCCAGAAAAGCATTTAAATTGTGTATGACAGGTAATTTTTTATTCTCTTTAGATGGAGTGGGGCTGAGAACAGGAGACCTTGGCTCAGAATTGTAGCTGAAGTGTAAGTAGCATTTTAGGATGAGAAGAACTGCTTGAAGGATTTACCAGTAACTTTAAGAAACACTGAAAAAAAAATTCAAAATAAGCTCTAGGCAGAAAGGTGGTGGACTCCCCTTCCCTGGAAGTGTTCTAGGCCAGGCTGGATGGGGCTCTGAGCATCCTGTTCTAGTGGAAGGTGCCCCTGCCCATGGCAGGGGGTTGGAACTGGATGAGTTTATTACAGGATCATAAATGGTTTGGGTTGGAAGGGACCTTAGTGTAGTTCTGCCTCTTGGTCTTGGGATTTATTTGTTGGATTGTCCAGGAGAAGGGCAGCCAGGGGCTGGCAGGGCAGTTACTGGTATAGAGATATTACACCAAGGTATGATTTTTCCTTTCACAGAGGTCCTGTTTGATTCAAACTTTATCCCTGGAAATGTATTGAATTTGATATTTAGAATCCATCTAGCACATGCTCTTACACTGTGGATGTGGTCCTGGCTCCTGAACAGTGCCAGGAAAAGTCACTTCCCAGCTGGATAACAGAGCTGCTGGGAGCACACACACACTTAACAGGAAAGTGATTGATTGAAAGAGCTCACTGTTCTACCGTGGAGGTTTTTCTGTGCAGAGCTGTGCAAACACCATGCAGAGCAGAGGTGCTGACTAGAGCCTGGGTGGGACATGTCTGATCTCTGTCTTGAGGATACTGTGACACTATTCTAGAGGTCTTTTTTGGGGAACTCTGAATGCTTCATTACATATTAATTATATATGTAATAATTACATATTTGTGACCGTGTTCACAGGGGTCTCAGGATGAGGGAAGAGATGAGGATCTGACTCCATGTTTCAGAAGGCTGATTTATTATTTTATGATATATATTACATTAAAACTATACTAAAAGAATAGAAGAAAGGATTTCATCAGAAGGCTGACTAAGAATAGAATAGGAAAGAATGATAACAAAGGTTTGTGTCTTGGCTCTGTCCAAGCCAGCTGGGCTGTGATTGGCCATTAATTAGAAACAACCAACATGGGTTAATCCAAGATCTACCTGTTGCATTCCACAGCAGCAGATAATCAATGTTTACATTTTGTTCCTGAGGCTTCCTAGCTTCTCAGGAGGAAAAATCCAAAGGAAAGGATTTTTCATAAAGATGACTGTGACACATATTAATTACATATTGTAGTTTAGAAATGTAACTTTGAGCAAACTGTTGAAATTCTGCTACAGCAGAAGCAATGCCAGTTGTGTTTGCTTAAGGCAAAAGCCAAGAGGGAAGTTGTGTGGCAGTGCCCAGGAAATGGAACATGTTAATCAATGCAATGAGTAATCTGTGGATGCTTTCTCTTAGAGCCTGTTCTTGTGTTAGTGCTTGGAGGTGAAAATCCTTGCCCAGTTTTGGGGGAAGATGGAGAATGCATGTGGAAGTACATGAGCCCACCAGTATGAGTGGTGTATGATCTGTGCTCAGCATTGCAGAGATCCATTTGCCTGCAGCATTTCTGAGTTGCAGCTCAGGGAAGTTCAGCCAAGTGTGGCTGAGCAGCCTCTGCACAGAGCCTAGAGAGTACAGCAGGAGCTTCAGTAGATTGTCAGACCTGCTGTGGAAGTTTGAGGAAAAATTAAATCATCAATGCCTGATTTGGTGTTATAATAGTTCTTCTAGTAGGTGCATGGCTTAAAGACAATAAACACATCCACATTCTCTCATTCAAGTTCAGCATCCATATTGTTGCTAATAATGAGATTTGCATGTTTACCTCTATTTCCTTATCATGATCTTGGGGGGTTACAATCATTCCTATACAGGGTTATGCTGTATGAAAGTTCCCATGGATCTGGTCAGCCTCAGCTGGGGCAGGGCTGGGCCAGCTCTCTGTGGCCTTTGCTGAGCAGAGGTTGGAGCACCCAGGTGGGAGGAGGTCCTGTGGCTCAGAGGCTCCTCCTGGCTCAGCCCCATCAGCCATGCCTGGGTGCTGTGGCACTGGCAGGAGCAGGGCTCAGGGGAGATGGGCTTTGCCTAATCCTCACTCTAATGCTTGAGCTGCTGGGAGCCTCTGTGGATTTAATGCCTGCCAGGACTGTGTCCTCAGGCTCAGCTGGTAATTCTAGGGAGCAGCTCAGGGCTGGCAGCTCATCCTGTTGTGTCTGGCCATGCAAACCACCCTGCTGCTGTAACATCTGAGGTGACCTCCTTCTTCTCCTGCCTTTGTCCTACCCTTCTGATGCTGCATAGATAATCCTCCTTGTGTCTGCAGAAGAGCTCTCAAAGTTCACACAGTGGGAAAAAGGTCACATCCAGCTCCTGCTTACCTGGAAACAGATCTTTGGGACAGCAGCAGCCTGAGTGGCTGTTTAGTATTGGCTCTAAATCTAGCCACCCTCAGGTGCTTCTCCCATTCTTTTTGTTTTATTTTGAAACTAGAATTCCAGTCACTTTTCTCACTTTGCACCCACAAACACGAGTACTCTCCACTTGCAGCTGTGAGGGAATATCCAAGTTGGTAAGAGGAAAGAAATTTGATGAGGAGCTCCAACTCTTCACCTCATTTAGCATTTGAATGATCAGGTTTCATGTTTGGAGAACACAACATTCTCTGGCTCGAGGTTTAACTACTTGGTTTTCCAAACCCCTTCCCAGAGCCAGTTAACATGACACACAGAGGCTGGACACAGACTGAAGGAAGTTTAACCCATTTATTATGGTGACATTTGAAATCTAGCATGAGTTTTGATATTCCCTGCTCTTAGATTTCTAAAAGGTGTTTATGGTACAGAGTCACTTAAATAAGCTATTGCCATCTCATGGCCATTTTTGAGAAAGATAAAGGACTAGAAACAGTCCTAAATAAACAACATGAATAAAACACCACCTAAGTGTCTTAGGCATCAGGCTCCAAGATCAAACAAGCCTAGGAATAGTTTAAATTATAGTTTAAATTACATTTATTTTTAGTGTTTGGCTGTTCACCCTTGTAACATTCAGCTGAGCGAACAAAATAGGAAATTTATTTTAGCAACATAGGAAATAAAACTGGCCCACAATTAACAGACCCTTTAGCAGACTAGAATCTACTGTCAATTCTACTGTCTTTAATCAAAACTCAATACATTCTTTAAAGCAACAGGTACTTTGTCAATCCTGTTCAGAACTACTGTGCTTGCAGTATTTCAGACTAACAACAGATCAAGGACAGATTTTTTTTGTCAGGGTGGACTCATCTGAAGCCCTCATGAGCTGTGACCCTTTGGCTGAAGCTGAGCTGTCACAGGTAAAGCTGTGGGACCCTGAGTCCCCCCTCAATCAGCACCAGTGTCACTCACTGACAGGGCAGAAACTGAGCAGGAGCCAGGGCAGGGAAAACTAAACCAGGCAATATTGTGCTAAATAAGTGTACTTTAGTTTATAGCCTAAACACACACCAGCCTTGTACCCCACTCTCTATTTACAAAGGGTTTTCACTGCAGTAGCTCTATTATTGCCCATCAGCAGCTTTGAAATTCATGATAAATCACTGCCCTGAGGATTATAAAACCATCCATGCCTTCCATTGTTTATGTCATGCTTGCCCTTACATTCAAAAGTGATTTGGAGACAAATGCAAACAAAAAAAGGCTACAAAACCCAATTGCTGGTGCTGCACAACAGCCCTGTTTTAAACTTAAAATAATTTGTATAAAAATAGCAATGGGTAAATAGAAAAGCACAAAGGAAAGCTATTTCTTGGTCACTACAGCAGCCAAGACATTCAATCTTCAGCAAAAAGATTCATCACCCCTACTTTAAAATCATCTTCAATTTATTTCAAGTAACCACCATCATTCCCCCCCTCACTGTTTATTTAACTGCAAGGCCCCCACCTGGTCCACTCAAGAGCAGAAGTGAATGACAGGAGCCACCACCATGGCTTTGTCCCATTTGAGGCTGCAATTTCAAACCTCATTGTATTTCCTTTCTGCCCAAGTAGGGATAAAGAAGGTACACAAAGGACTGTTGCAGAGAAGGGAATTAAACCAAGAAAAAGAAGAGTCTAGTAAGAGTACTAGAGTAGTAAGTAAAAGTATCTTAGTGTAAAAATGCCTTGCAAGTCACAAGAACAGTCTAACCAAGATGTACCATTAGAAAAGCTTTCTAACAAATCAAAACTATAAATATTTTTTAATGCCATCAAACATACTGATAAAAATCATCACTAAGTGTCACTCTTCAGGCACAGTGCCTTTGTAAATACATTCAGGAGCACTTTTAGGCAAATCTGAATTCATGAACTTGACATTCTGCCAGTGTCCAACTTGTTTCTGCATCAATTTCTCTATTGATTGGGTGATTTTGGACAGCATTCAAATTCTGAACATAGATCAATCCATTAAACAGTGATTGGAAAAGACAACAGGCTATGTACTTCATGTGATTTCTTTTCTAGTATTGTCTACACTAACAAAATAGAGTAACTGTAATTCTTCAAGATCAGAAAAATATTCAGCAGTCTGTAAACAGCAGCAGGATCCATTTCACACAGGATCTTGTGCAGCTGCTTCTCCTTTCTGCTCACTTGCTGCTTCATGCTCTGGTGTCTCTGGAGCAGGGGGTAGGGAGCTCTCCATGCTGTTCACAAGCACCTTGGGCTCCTGGTTATCTGCATCAGTTCCTAGTGTTGTTTTTGAAGAAATGTCATGAGGAAGATCAAGAGAAGGTAGAGATGGAATTGAAGGTAGGAGGTCATCCAGGGAGGACTGCTTGCCTGATCCTTCAGGATATGGGGTTAAACCTTCAGGGTCCAAAGCTGAGGAGTTTTCTGGGAAATGGAGAGAATTGGTAAAAAACCAAAACATATCAGGCTAACAGACAGTGCCTCAGCATTTTCATTAAACAAAGAGACCCACATGCTATAAGCTTATGGAAAAGCACATTCATTTTTTCCATTTCTAAACCTGATTTCTGCTACTTTTTTCCATTCCATTTTTGATGATTTTTATTAAAATCTGCCTGTTTCCAAAAACTGTGATAATGTTAAGTGAACATGAGTTGGTGCCGTTCCAGAAACAAGACCCAAAGGAAATAATGACTGCACTTACCAAAATAAGCAGAGGCTTCACTCTTTGGCATTAATGTTTCAGAGCCTACAGAAGCTCCTGCTGCTGGCATGTTGAAGGGGGCAGATGAGGACAGGTTGGACACTTCTGTTAAGCTTGTGAACTCAGAAACTGAAATTCCAGACATATCTAGAAATCCTGAAGGAGAAAGCAAGTATTAGTTAGATGCAACACAAAATGCTAGATTCAAAAGGACATATTCTATCCAGACTGAAGTCAGTCAAGTCCCCTTCCTTGGATTTCAAAGCTGTAGAATTTGGGTACCAGGTAAGTTAAATTTATTTGCCTTTAATAGGAAGTCAAAAACCTCAAGGCAAACCACCACCAGTGCTCACAGTTCTGAATTTAAATCTATAGCTTGTTTAAGACCATATTAATTTCTTTAGATGTACTCTTAAGAATTGGTGAAAAAAAGAACCCAAGAAAACATACCTGGATCCATAACTCTCTGGAGAGGGGGAGGAGGAGAAAGGGAGCTTTCTGGTGAGTAACCACTCATTTCCTGCCCTGTGGAATGATCCAAGTTCATAACTGCTTCAGAGCTGTCATTCTGAGAGGTAGGTGCCAACAATGGAGTCTGGAACAAGACAGCAAAAAGTAAAAACAGTGTTTTACATCAAAAGCTTCACCTGTAGCTAAACCTCCCATGAAAGCATCCTGCCTGTCTCCACATGCAGCAGTTCAGAGAGAAGCTGTGATGCTGAAACTGGAAGACAAACACCACTCAGGACATGATCCAGCTCAGCCTTTCAAAGCCTGGCTGTTCTCAGAACTTGGTTCCTGGAGGTGTATCTATCTTTCTCCTAGTGAAGTAGGTGTTCTAACATGATCCCCATTGACTGGCACAGCTGTAGGGTGCAAGACTTGAAAATAGGGAGAAACTATCTGGCAAGAATTTGTATCAGCTGCCACTGGTGATCTGGGACCTGCTCTCCCCTTCCCTTCACCCAACTGCATTTCATTCAATAAACTTGAATGCTGTACTCAAACATTCTGTATTACCACTGTCCCAAACAGCAGATTTTCCAACTCCACAGAACGTGGCAGAGATTGGAATTTATTTTTTTCCTACCTCTGTGTAACCATTAGTGGATGGCAGAGGAGTTCCAGTTTCTGGTGAGGGTGAAGCTGATTTGCTTTCTGGCTTTTTCTTTGATGTCATGGACTGTGTTGGAATTCTGTGCAAATAGCCATATCCAATACCACATCCCAAACTGTACAAGAGAAAAAAATCAAGACACAAAAAGGTGCTCTTAACAAAGCTAATATTTTAAATTTTGACTTTTTTAAACAAGAATAGTGTCTTTTATCTATATCAGGAAATACCTACCTGCAAGAATTTCCACTTAAAGAGTACTCAAAGAATGCTCTGCAATCAACTTTGAGACATGCACAGCTTCGCTTTCAGTGAACTATTTTATATCTTTACAAAATATTTAATCTGACCAGATGTGGGTTTTGTTCTTGCTTTAGCTGAATGTTTTGACTATGAGAATGCAGATAATGAATCTGCTAATGGGGAACTTAGACAGAATTTCTGCCATTTGATTTAATCCTGAATGTGCCCAATTCCTAATTCTAAGCTGATTTTTTTTAATGTAAAGATTAACAGACAAGTGTGAGGAAACAAGGCTTAACATGGAAACACCAATAACTGATAGCAGTAATACCCCTAACAGGAGCTCATTTACAGCAAGTGTCAAACCTGTCATCAAGAGAGATCAGTACCTTCCTTCTCCACCCCAAGCTCCATTGGGAGTCACAACCACCTCTCGGATGGAATCTGCCTCAGTGTTATAAACCATCAGCTTCAGAGGCTTCCCCTCGTGGGATTCAATCAGGGAAAAGAAATCCTCTGACTAGGAAAAAAAAAAAAAGATAAAAAATAGTAGTTAATAAACCCATACGTGCAAGTCAACATTTTACATTATTATTTACTTAATGTGAGATATTAAACACTCAGAGATAGAAGAATCACCAAGGTAGTTTGATCTTAAGTGGCAAATTCTTTTTATTGTCAGACTAAAAATAAAGATGATGTTTATGATAGAAGCTTTATTAAGGTGAGCATTAACCTTCCAAAATCCCTCATTGCCACCCCCATGTGTTTGATGAGATTTATACAAAACAATAAACAGTTGGCAGGCACAAAGACAACCACTGCCTGCTGGAAGACACGTGCACCCTACCTCCTGCAGAATCTGATCAGATCCAACAACGTAGTCAGTGTAAGGCTGGAGACCAGCCAGAGCTGCAGGAGACGAAGGCTCCACGTCCTGTGAAAGAATGACACAAGTTATCTGCACCCCCAGCAGGAGAAACCAGCAAGATCAAAAAGAACCAACTCCCAGAGCAAGGAGGGAAAGAACAATTTGTTAATGGAGTAAAAAAGAAGTTCTCAGATAGTCTACATCTACCTGTGACATCCTGTAGAACATGATGAGTAAGAAAGATGTAGAACATGATGAGTAAGAAAATCTTATTAATTTAAAATTGCATTCTCTGAAGATGCTGAGAAGTTGCATTTGCTTAAGCAACCAGAAATATAAACATTCTTTCCTGTTCAGTTCTACTCTTTCAGCTCTAAATAAATTTATGGTGCTTTTTGTAACATTAAAATTATTTCAGTGTGGTTTAGCCAACACAGAGACACCAATCAGACCAGAATCCTTTTACTTTTGCCATTGGTTCTTCAACATAAAAGGAAAAAACCCTTCCCATCGGTACTGTTTGGTCTGCTTGGGATGGAGTTATTTTTGTCCTTGTCCCTACTCAAACAGCTCAGACAAACCTTCAAGACAGTGTTCCCTTCCTCTGAGTGGCTGCATCACTGTACATTACTAAACATCACACAGTAAAACAAAGTTGCACAGACAGTCAGGAGCCAGCCAAGCTCTGCTGCTCACCAGAACGTGCCACACGTGCTCGTTGGCTCCCTGGAAGCTGCAGAACCTCACACTGGCCCCAAGGAGGCCTTGGCCTCCCCACATGTTGCTGGGGATCACCTCCACCTCTCGGATCTTCATCGTTTTGATGTTGTACACCTCCAGCTTCACTGCTTTCTCAGCATTTGCCTTCAGCAGGTCTTTCAGCATATTGTTCTCCTTGTTCTGTAAAGCAGATGCAGGATTAACATTATTTCCAGTTGCACCTGTAACATCTGTGGCAGAATTTGAATACAAAGAGCCAAAACTATCAAAGTTTAGGCTGTGTGGCTCACAAAGAATCCCAGCAATTTCCAGTTCAATTTTCTTTTACTAGAAGGCAGTCAGTACTGTCAACACACATCCCTTTACATAAGTACTTCCTGTTATTCCATTTCATCGCTGGCATTCCTGTCCTTCACAACTGCTGTTAAATAACACCAGTAGTATCAGATGCCAGCTGTAGTCTAACAATGAGCAGCAACATTTCACTTCATGTCTCTGAGCCCCATCCTCTTCAACAGCCCTCCAAAGTCACTGCACAGTGGCTGTGAAAGAACAGCTTCATTTCTGTCATGTTAGAAAATGAAATGATCTTTCCCAAAATCTGCCCTTATAATGATCACTTCCAAAAAAGACATCTCCTCTCATAAAACCAAGACAAACTTAATGAATTCAGCTTGAATGTGGTTATGGTGGAGCATACAAGGCACAGCTCTGACAAAACCCCAACCAAAACCCAAAAAAACCCCATCAACCAAAACTCAACTCTTCTCCCATACCTCAACACACAGGAATTCTTGGGCTCAGATGTATAAGTAGGCACACTGATTCTTTTCCATGTTTTATCAAGTGTTGAAACAAGTTTGTTTAAACAAACATTGAGCTCTGACTATTGACTCACCAGTTCAGTATTCACCTTGTGGTAGAAAATATGTACAAATGAGCAATAACAAAAACATTGTGTTAACCTGTTAAGAAGTTAAGGTGAGTAAAGGCATAAACAAAACCTTTCCTTCAAACTTGGGGCTAGCCAAAGAGACTTTGGACATCTGCAAGTTTTACTTTACTTTTAATGTCAAATGTGAAAAGTTTCTCTGCTTGTGACAGCTGTGGTTTTTACCTTTCATCATCACTACAGTGCCCACAGTTCATGTAGGGAGGAAAATAACACCACTGAAATCATCTGAGACTTACAAGCCTCGTGTGTCCTATGGCAATGATGAAATCAAAGAAAGGTTCCAGTCCTCCTTGTTGGGCTGGGGAGTTCTCCTGAACCTGCAGAACACAGATTTTATTGTTATTCCACACTGACCTCCAGTTACATAAGGGAAAGTGTTAATATTTACACTTGATTCAATATTTACTTTTGAGCTGAGCCAGAGATAAGGCACCAAATGACCACCCTCAAGCAGCACCCCATAATTAGGCTCTTACTTCTATATAACTATGAACAGATACCCAAATCAAGCTGTAAAAAGCAGGTTTTGAACCCCATATACGACACAAATATTGTAATTCAGAGTTCACAACCTGGAATTATTAAATACTGAATACTTTGGAGAAAATTTGGGTTTTCAATGTGCTGCTGCAGGATTTTCTCCTGTGGTTCTAACACTGTGAGAATCCTCACATCAAAGCCGTTTTTCCATGAACACAAGTGACAGCTGGGTTCCCACATTCCCAGCCCACTGGAACAGGAATATTTACACAAGCACACACTTCTCACAAGTTCTGGTCAAGGAAACTGCCACCACTTACAAAAAATTCCTAAGCAATAGATTTGGGACATCTCAGTTTCATAAGAACCAAAGCTGTCATAGAGGAGATGCCATCACTAGAGAGAACACTCATAAAACACATTCATACCAGGAAAAACCCCACAAAAATTCTGCAACTACATTAAATCCACCCACGTCAAGGTGCACTGACAAAGCAAGATGGTGTAAAGGAATCACTGACAATTTGCTCTTGACTTCACTTTTTGTTAACTCAGAAGCCCTTAACCTGAGATATATTTGACTCCTGAGGGCCAACTCACAATTTAAGCACAAAATTAAAACCCAGGCATCATCTAAACTGGGAAGTTCATTGCTAGGAAAGTTGCATCTTATATTTGGTCTGGTGTTACCAAAATTATATATAAATATAAATATAAATAAATATATATATATATATGTATTTAAATATATATGTATTTATGGGGGGGTTTTTAATAGATAAAGTTGTATTGGTATTGGGGCTTTTGCTGACAGAACTATTTATAAAAGTTATAAAAATATATTTAATAGCATAGTTACTGCAGTAAAGCTTCTAAAGCAAAAATAAGAATAAAAATCATGCTTTATTTTCAAACAGTCAAGACTGAGCACTGTAACCACAGCTGGAGCTGTATTAACTTTTATCACAGCCCTGTACTGCATCAAAAGCAAACAGGCGGCTTTATACAGATGCTGAGAAACGCAGAATGCAGAAGAAGTGGAAACAGCACGTGGCAGCAACGCTCCTATTCTTATTCCAGGAAGGGAAAATACCCACTAAAAAACGATAACTCATGCAAACAGCTGTTATCTGCCCATCCTTAAACTTCCAGATATGCATTTACACCTCTGTACGTGCAGACATCTGCTAAATAGAGGAGTTACAGCAGACTTTCATCTGGGAGAGGCAGCCACGGGGGAAACACCGCTGGAAGGGGAATTAACCCCCTAGCGTGATGCTGTGGGGATTCACAGGGAAGGGAGCAGAGAAAGGAGGGAAGAAGGGAATAGGGAGAGAGAACAAGAAGAGCAGAGAGACCAGGGACAGATGGAGGCGAGCAGGGAGGAAAGGAGGGGAACAGGGAGGGAAGAATCGCTGTTCTACTCTCGAACTATTTCAGGCTCCCCCGGGCTGCTCGGCACCCATTCCCGCCAGGTCGCGGCCCCGAGCTCGCTGCAGCCCCCGCGGGTCCCGGCAGCGGCGCGGCCGCCCCGCCCCGCCCCTGCCGCCGTGGCAGCTCCGGGACGGAGCCAACAGCCGGAGCCGGGGCGGCCCGGGTGTGGCAGCGCGACCCCGCCGGAGCCGCCCCAGCGCCCGCCGCCCCTCGCGGCCCTCCCAACCTCCCTCCGTCTGCCCGCGGCCGCCTCACCCCGTGCACGTGGAATCCCTCGGCGCCGCCGCCGGGGCCCTCGGAGCTGGAGCCCAGCCCCATGGCGGCCGCGCCGCCAGCGCTCCGCCGGACCCGAGCGGAGCCGGCCCTCAGGCGGCCGCGGCCCCCGGCAGCGCCCGCACGCCGCTCCCGCAGGCCCGAGCAGCAGAGCGCCGAGCGCAGCGCCGGCACACGGCGGAGCGATGCGGGAACGAGACTCGACTCCGCGCCCTGGCGCGTCACCGGTGGGGAACGCCCCCTAGCGACGGGGGCGGGGCGGGAGAAGCGAGGCGTTGCTGTGGGGGGCGGAGAAACGGCGTGGCTATTGCCGAAGGGCGTGGCCTGTGCTGAGGGGCGGGGTCAGGTCTGAGGGGCGTGGCCTGCGCTGGAGCCCCAGAACCACAAAATCGCTGAATTTCGGAATTTTTTAGGTTGCGAAAAAACTGAGATCACTGAATCCAACCTCTCAATGAACACCACCGTGGAGACAGCCCATAGCGCTTCAATGTTCCCTCAAGCACCTCCAGGCACGGTGCCTCCACCCCCTCCCTGGGCAGCCCCTTGCAATGTCTGATCAGCCCTCTCTGTGAAGAAATTCCTCCTGTGAAAAATGCCAATTTTATGATTGGCTTTTCGCGAATATTACAATGAATATTATATGTGTTGTGTTAGAAAGTAATGCTGTATTAATTCTCTTAAGTAAGTGTGTTAAATAGGTTATGAAAAATGTTAAAATGGAATCTATGCTATGTAGGATGCTTTTTTAAAGAAAGGACTTGCAGTGAGATAGCAGCCACAGGACACCTGAATCTTTCAGAGAAAAATAATTTATTGCCCTCTTATCAGAAGAAATGAACTACTTCCCACCTCAAAGGTGCTGTTAGGATTCAGAGGAAGAAGTTGACACTGCCCAGACAGAATCCTGTGTTTATGGATTGGATATGAATGGAATTTATGCATCATGGATGAGGTGTATGAATATGCAACAGGCTGTTGTTTTTAAGGGTTAATTCTTTATTAACGTGGGTCCCTTTTCGGGCTCATGTTGCCCATAAAAAGGTACCTGGACATCCGTAACTCTTTGTTTCTATTGTCTCATATTGTTCTAATTCAAATTGTCCAAATTATTATTACTCTAATTGCATTACTATTTTTAGAACTATTTTATTACTATTAAACTTTTAAAATTGTAAAAAACCAAGTGTTTGGCATTTTTCACACTCCTGATGTCCAACCTAAACCTCCCCTGTCACAGCTTAAAACTGAAAAAATCCCCAAACTCGCCCACTACTGTTCTACTGTTCTCATTCTAACAGCCTTTAAAAATCATCCTCGTGAGTATAATCCAGAAATATATTAATGCTAATTTTTTTAGCAATTTTCTGCTTCTGTTCCTCTCTGTCAGTAGAGAATAGTGCTCAAGAACAGTGTTTCTACCAGCTGAGACAACTTTTAGCATTGATTAATACTATTAAATCAATAGTCCAATGTTGCTGTTTTACAAGTGGTAGTTTGTAGTATTTTTAAGTAGATAGGTATTTATATTTAAGAGGCTGTGATATTTCCACCCCCCCTGAAATTTCATGGCTGCCCCACTCTGTTCTACTTAGGATGGATCCTTCTGATTCTGCCTTTAACTCATGAATGGAAAAGTTCTGAAAATTTGCAAAGTAGCAGAAATAATTGGAAGTTTATTATATTATTATTGTTAAAATGTTAGTTGTATTTCTTGCATTAACATTTTCATTTTAGTATAAAAGTACTGATTTCATTAAAACTCTTTGGTAGTACTGCTGTCACCTCCAAGATCTCATTTTCCAAAGGATCCATCCACATAATCTCTGTGCTTCAAGTGTGATGCATAAATACTTTAAAAAAAACAAAAAACCTGCTCTTTCCATTCTGTGTCTTTACTTCCAAATGAACTTCTTACATTCCCTGTCACACTTCAGGAGCTATTTATGCTTGAAAATCCACACACTTTGGTTCATATTTACCCAGAGAAAGCACAGGATATTCTCAGGAGCCTTTTTAAGTAACTTTTCCCTGGAGTTGTCTCTAAGCTGTGACTGCAGATCTGTGCATCACATTCATTGAGCAGATGGGAAATAAAAGTATTCAGAAAAAAAATATGCCTAACATTTATCTGAGGGATTTTTATGCTGTGTATATTTGGGAACCTTATCTCGTAGCTGTATTTTGTATTAAACTGCTTATTATAACTGTGTCTTTATAACAGGTGAACCAATGAGGAGCTGCAGTGTTGGCCGTGTAATTGTATTTTTACAAACAACAGAAATGAGAAACATTTCTTCAGACTTACCAAAAATAGATGCCAGAGGAGAGAGTCTGATTCCAGTACTAAATTAGTAGAAAGAGAAAAGAAAGAGAAAGGAAAGAGATAAGAGAAGAGAAAGGAAAGAGATAAGAGAGAGAAAAGAGAGAGAAAAGAGAGAGAAAAGAGAGAGAAAAGAGAGAGAAAAGAGAGAGGAATTCTTTGCATTTATCACAGAAGGCAATGAGGAGGTTTCCATCCCCAACCTTTCTTTGCATTGTCTTGTGTTAAGGTGGAGGTGAAAGAGCCCATGAAGAGAGAAAATAAGCAATAAATTTTCAGGAATAGATGATCCTTACCCCATCTTTCTGGGGGAGCAGGGGAATGAGCTGGCACACCACAAGCAGAGGTTTTGTATTGCTTGCTTCAAGCACTTGGGCTGCAGGAGGCTGGGAAATACAAAACATCCAAATTTTTAACAAGGTGTCTTGGTTTGAAAAGACAGGTGTCTGCTGAGGAAGTCAGGAGCCTCCCTTGAAATGGAAAATGTAAACCCTCTCCCCCTGAATTACTATAATTTTGAAATTAAGGGGCTCTCAGGCAAAGATATGGGAGCAGGGATAACAGTTCTTTACTAGGAAAATAAAAATACAAATGCAATACAAAAAAGCAAACAAACCACTGCCAGAGTCAGAGCAGTCCCTGCCCCCTGTGTGTCAGGGAGGTGTCCCAGCCCCATCCCAGGGGGGCTCAGCCCTCCTGCAGTGCCAGCTGTGGCTCTGCTGCAGCAGGGATCCTGCACAAGGGGGGAGTTTTCCTCTGCAGCTGCAGGGCTGCTGCAGATGGGCCTGGGCTCCCTCTGGCAATGCAGGGCAGCAGAAAGCTGCTCCTCTGGCAATGCAGGGGGCAAAGGCTGCTGTGCTGTGCCAGGCTCAGATTGGATCCAGGGAGGAATGCTTGGCTCCTCCCCTGGGCGGAGCATCTCCCCATGGGATGCTGGGATTGGATCAGTCCTGCAGGGACACTCAGTGGCCATGGACAGCAGAGATCTCCTGGAGGGAGGGTTGGCTGTGGGAGAGAGAAAGAAAAAACTGCCCCATCAGATAGGAACAGAATACACACACCCATTTCCAACGTAAGACACGAGGAATTCTAGCAGAGATCTGAAGGGGAGGTCTGCAAGCCTTAATAAAGTAAGAGAGACTCCAATAAGTAACATTTTTAGTGGGTACCTGAGCATTATATTCTTGGCAAGATACTATATTTGCAGGGATTGCCCTGATGAAGGCAGGAATGATGAATCTGAATCCATGTTCTCAGAAGGCTAATGTATTATTTTATGATACTATATTATATTAAAGAACACTATACTAAACTATACTAAAGAATACAGAAAGGATACTGACAGAATGCTAAAAAGATAATAATGAAAACTCCTGACTCTTTCCAGAGTCTTGACACAGCTTGGCCCTGATTGGCCAAAGAGTGAAAACAACTCACAGCAGAATCCAATGGAACAATCACCTGTGGGTAAACAATCTCCAAACAGATTCCACATGAGCACAACACAGGAGAAGCAAATGAGGTAAGAATTGTTTTCCTTTTCTCTGGGATTTCTCAGCTTCCCAGGCGAAAAATCCTGGGTGAAGGAATTTTTCGGAGAATGTGAATGCCACAGGAAGAGCCTACATGGCTCTGCTAAAGGAATACCCTGTCTCACACATCTGGAAATACACAAAAAGGAGCAATCTGCTGGCTTGGATTTCAAAAACTCTCTCATCAAAGCTTTATCAAGGCTTTTTTAAGGAAACTAAGCAGCAATGCTTTGAGTTATATTTATATAAATGAGTGGCTAAAAGATAAATTGATGATGAGAGTGAATGATCACTGACAGATCATTCAAAGTGTTATCAAAAATCCCCAAACACTGGTTTTCCTCATAATCTAAAAGCCTGGAAAGAGAGATACACACTGAGATGACAAAAGGAATAAAAATATGGATAAAGTGGTATTTTTTTTTAACTTCTGCTTTTACATTTTGCTTGTCACATGTTCCAGCAGTCTGAAATTTGATGATCCATTAGCCCAGTGTTTCATCCACCTCTGCAGGTTCAATGAGGAGCTGTAGGAGCAAAGAAATCTAGGGGTGATTTGGTAAATGTAGGCATGTTTTAAGTAGTATTTTATCTAATTTGCTAAAGAAACTAGCACCAAAAATAGTGCTCCTGTCAATAAATTAATGGAAAAAACCTAATCTGCCCTGTGCCACTCTTTTGCAGCAGTTTTGTTTGTTTGGAAAAATACTTTAGCTCATGTTTATTCAACACTTGAGCAGCACTTCCATATTAAATTTGTCAGCTTAGCCAGGGCAAAGAGACTTCAATAAATTATTAAAGAGCAGCATTGCATAGCAGGATTTGTAGTGACACATTGTGTCTTCTCACAGAGAGAAATCAAGTTTTATTTTCATGTGGCTCCCTCGAGGATGATTCTGTGCTGCACTAAAGATTTATTTTAAATGGTTGCATGGGGGTTTCTGGAATAGCAGCACAAGAGTGTTTCAGGCACTAGAGAAGAAAGTTATTTATGCCATTAGAGGTAATAAATTTTAGGAAAACAAAGATCTGTCAGTGGAGACATATATATAATATGTATGTGAATATACATGTTGTATATTCAGTGTGACTTTTTTTGCAAAAATATTTAAATTTTAAAAGTATATTTTCTAAAGGAGAAAACTTACTGCTTTACTTTCCAATCTGGTAAATGATGAACAATTTTCCTTTCAGCACCACAATCTGAGAAGCATGCATGTGTGTTTC